AAAWTWAAWTTWARKTTTTTTTTTCATACAATACATATTATTCTCAAAKTTTTATTACTAAAAACATATTTTTGTGAATTGTCATCACTTATGCACTGTAGAGTGCTWCCTGAAAAATCGTTTTTCATTTTYRAAATTTTGTTTGACACTATTTACAACGTTTTGACGAAACTGAGATAAAATACCGATCGATGCAGTGTGCATGTTGTTGTCTACGTGGAAAACATTTGCTTCCTGGATTTACTTTATGACACAAGGATGGCCTTAAGAATGTTTAGACGAACTGTTTATCTAAATAACTATGTAGTATGGTTTACTAATGTAGAAAATGCAAATATTGCTCTTTTTCATCTATAAAAAGACCTCTTAAGGCCACCGAGTTTTTGTGGATATAATGCTGTTACTGGTTCCAGTGATGAAAGGAATAAAGACTGCCAAAAATGCACCGCAAATGAATAGATAACGTACAGTRATATCATGTTATCCAGTAAMTCTGGCCGGAATRTATAGTCCTCGCCCTTTTTATTCGTTGAAAGTCTGTTTCCTTGTTTTCTTTGCAGAGATTCGATTAGTTTTAGCACTTCCGTTAGGAACCGTATTTGTGGGTTATYATAACGAACATAAAGTCCAAGGACTATAACTCCCATCACACTAAATGGCGTCGCTGAACATTGACTATTGGAAAAACAATACGTYTATGGAGWGATGTAATTGATATTCAAGGCTTAGGGGGAGATAAGAGATTCACTAGTTGATCCCTACTATTCTCCTCCGGTTGAGAACCCCTTCTTCCCATGAAGATACCCTTTATACTATCGATAATGTTCATTGRTTTATTSGGTCCTTCTGAWACTACTCTTAGATGTTCCTCCGGAAAATATCCCACTTCAAAGGCCACCACAGCAGCATGGTCGAGTTTWCCAGGAAGTTCTTTCATGATTCGTCTGATTTCGCTCTCGGTTATTCGTTGTGTTGGACCTCGTCCTTGGTCGCTTGTAAGTGTTCTTTCTACTGAAACTCGCTTTTCCTGGGTGCACTTTGCTACATGGCTGATTAGGTTAGCGCACAGAGTTTGAGCTGAAAGATCATCATCTGGTATTTCCAACTCAATTGCCTGGAAAAGAAAAAGTGTGTTTATAATCAAAAAGTCTTAATGTGTTCATAATTGATGATTAAMAACTACAGGGGTACAAAGAACACGATTATACTATGGCAGTAGTGTATAAACTATCATCGCGTTATATGACGTAAWAGGTCTATTAGTGCAGTAAATACCTCCTGCATGTCACCAAGAGTCTTCTCGTGTCTACGGGTAGGAATATCCCATTCAGTATACCGATCGCTATCAGTATCACTTGAACCATGAAGAGAACCATTTGCACTTGTAATGTTTAGCGAGTCCATACTGACTGACTGCCTTAAATGACCTTGACAATGACCACACTGAGATACAACAGGATCAAAATTATCCGACACCCCATCACTCGCTAAAAACACGATATCGCCAGCAGAAACTTGMGTGTATGAAAAWGTTAAGTTCGATAAATCGGGATTGTAGCCATCTACAGGTCCTAACGAGCCACCAGGACAGCGCATGTCRCGTTCAGCCTCTGAACAGTGAGAACCAATCGTTATTTCACGAGTACGAACTTTATGCGACATGTCTTTGCTATATACAAACCCAAGACTATCCCCGACATTAATAACGCAGACGGCCCATTTGTCACTACCTTTAATAGGACAAATAACCGCTGTACATAGTGTTGTCATAGTAGCGCCATTTTGGACGATGCATTCTTGCGCAAGCTCAAAAGAGCGACACAATAGYTCCATGACGTCATGAGTTGTGGTGGCTGAGCTAAGGAAATTATAAAGATACTGAATGGATCCAGCGACACCGCAACGAGCTGCAAGCCGGGATTTATCTCCCCAATTCACACCGTCTGCAATGGATAAAATACAACTATTTTCACGTGCTATGATAGCAAAAACGTCTGCAACTGGATCCCCTGTGGTGTACTGTGAGTTAGGATTTCGTTCATATAGTGATGTAGCAATTCCGAAAGCTCTACTAGTGTTCGGTTTTGTCCAGTCTTTGAATTTTTTAACACTGCCTTGATATTTAGGATGAGATAATAATTGAGCGTTGCTACATTTGATTTCAACGTTGCTAATTCCTTCTTTTGGTCCAGTGATGGCTGCTGTGACTCGTGATGTTAACGGTTGGAGAGTTTCCTCTGGTAACCTTGTATAATCCTTTTGCTCCCATTCGACATTATTGCGAATTCTCATTGCATCTCTGAAAGATTAACAACTGAACGTTAATAGGAGAATGTACTTTGCCAGTAATACAGAAACCTATTGGCTAAGGCATGCATTTTGCGAGGAACTACTGAATAAAAGTCATATATACAATCAAGATTCTCAAAATAAAAACAAAAAACATTTAAAAATAGAAATGCGTGTATAATAAAAGAGGAAAACTATGCAAATCTGAAGGGATTCCACACAGCGACCCCCTCCCTACCCCACCCCATCCCCTAATGTTTTCTAAGGTCTGCATGGTTTCTTAATAGTTACTAAATAACCTTTATTTCTATTGCGTTTTTGAAGACTTCTAGAATAATAACAAACTGACATATCTGGCTATTAGTTTGATTGATTTGTCTCTAAATTGTAGGCGATGCGGATGAAAAGAGGTTTTGATTCATGCTGGATTATTATTTGAACAATTGACAGCAAAAGGATCATTTAGCTATTTTATGTGCATGTCAATCGGTAGAGTATCCTTGTTGCTATTTCTTTGTGTTAATAAGCATTTATAATCTATGAATTTGAAACCAAAGAGAAACCATGAGTCAAATATCGAGACAAACTGTCTTTACTGTCTGCCTGTAAACGATACTAGTCGATGTCGTACAACATTGGTTTCCTGTTGGGTCAAGAAAAAATAACACAACCAACGACATCTTCACAACCAATGCCAACAAGGTACCAAACCAGTTTAAACAGGTTTAAAATTCACTGAGATTTTTCCGGAAACTGAGGTGGAATTATTTTATTTGCAACTATTTATCACGTAGAATATGCAATTTACAAATTGGATGTAATCAAAATCGAGTTATTCGCAGTGCAGACACTAAACCCGTGAGAGAAATAAATCCATAATCTATGTGAATCTCTGTGTCTGGTCATGCTTATCACCCTCTTAAAGCGACATTTCTCAGTTTCAAAGTATCAAATAACAATTTAGAGAAACAGCATTAAATATATGATACTGGCATCTACAGTAACTAAAAAACATTGAAACACAAGGAATGAATTTAGAAAAACTTAGATTATGCAGTAACTCAGAATCATGGCTCAATGAGGATTGTTTGCCACTCGGAATTGCGTGATTTATAACTGAAGATCAATCATGAATATTACCCGTTCTCCTGACGTTTAAAGCGAGTATATCGCATTCATACTAAGATAAAATCGCAGAGATCTTAGGTAAAGAGTTTTCAAATCTACCTTAAAGGTTGTCTCTGATTCATTAAGCTGTGGAAGACAAGTCTCGACACCGATCGACAAGAAAGACGAATGACCCCTTCRCTATGTCTTCGTCTTGTCGAAACTTTTCGACTTCTTTGCTCACTTGCTTCATTTAGGATACGTAGAAACTGAGTACGATTTTCTTCTAGCATTTCGGACATAACGAAAAAGGAAAATTACACAATATCTCAACCGTGTTAGCCGTACACTWGCTTATGCTCTCACGCAAAGTCACGCGACTTGAGTGAGTCACGCGATTAAAACAGTCACGTATGGCGGTTATTTCCAACCAATCAAAAAACACGAATAATTAAGAGTGAGTAATTCGYCATTCGTTCAGGCGAAACACGSAAACAAGCGAAATAAAAAACACTTCCTTGTTGTCGCACTATTATTTCAAGYTCATGTCCTAATTGGAATGATAGACTATTCATTTTCCGTGATCTCATCGGATCGCCAACAACAATGCTAAACTTGTTTTCGTTTTCTTTATAATATCGCTAATTTTCAGTCCGTATAAAGACTGATAAATTGTTATCATTGATAAAACAGTCAAAACGAAGTTTTCTAAAGGGACAAGTATGCAAGTCTCTCTTCGGCAACCTTAACCCTCGCAATGAATGCAAACACGTCAATACTCTCATGAAGATGTCARAATTGGATGTCCCTAAATCTTAGCAGTCAGTTTCAGAATCACTTTCGGGGCTTCGTAGTTCCCAGCCTTATAATGAAGGAAAAAGGGGAAAAAGAAACTATGAAAAAAAAAAATACAACTCATTAGACTAGAACGGTGCCGCCTGCTAGATAAATCCTTTTGAATTCTCTGTTATGATCAAGCAGATCTAGACARCAATCACTTTAAAGTCTAGTCGTAAAAGTCAGAGTGCGTCACCTTCACAAAACTAGACAAGACGCACAAGAAAGCAACGACATATCCTGTACGATATTGTCCAAAAATAACGTAGAGGTCAGAAGATATATTGCAGTAAAACATAGTTTTGTTATCTCATGGTGTTCCATACGAGACAAGTAAACAGAAAACAAACACAGTCATATTAATCAAGTAAATATCAGAAAAAATAGACAGTCGACTACCTTAACAAGGCTTCGGTTTTAGTACRCTCATAAGACCTATAAGCTTCAACGACTTTGTTTTTTCCCTTTGTGTCTTKAAGAAATTTGCAAAGTTGTAATCCCATKGTTGTGAAAGCCAGTTTTTCAACCGATATTCAACGTGATGTCAGCGTACTGTTAATATCAAACTAGTAACTAATGATTTCCATTACGTTCTATGTACTAAAACCGCACGTCAAAGAAATAGAAGATGAATAATTGATCACCATTTAAGTGATGACTAGRCGAAAAAAATGGACAATCCAACTTTACACTGACGTGTTTTTATGTACATTTTGATTAATCGAATGACGCAAATGATCTCGTCTCTGACATTCAGAGACTGTAGGACCCTAGAMAAACCTTCAAAAATATCTGCCCTTTATTGTGASGAAAAATCATGACCCATCGTCTTTTTTGATGTGACTTGGCCATGTTACGTGACCACAGAGCACTATATGTTGCGTGACCGACCTGACATATATTTTATGTAAGCGGAGCCATATAGTTTTCCACAGGAAACCTCAGGAAACCTATTGAATTATCGCACGATGTGTCATACTGAATCCCAATACAAGATTTGTTGTTTGTGATTTTGTACAATGACACTTTTTGTATCAAATGACCGTGAAGTCCTATGAGACCTATGAGCCTCCTTTCTGCCTCCTAACGAATTCCTTTCCCCTTCGTTTGAATGTGAGCTTAACGAAAGAAAATAGGACCACTGGACGAGGTTGAGCTTCAAGGCATTCGTCGAGCAAGTCTCAAAGTCATATATACAAGAGCTTTGCAAATGTTTTGTGGAATTTAATCCTTCAGTATATGTTGACATTGTCACTGAGTGACTCCAGTTCTGTGGTTTTATATTTCTTTTAGGACAACTATTTATACATCAGTTTTTAGAGCTATCTCTTGTTGATTGGCTTCTTTGAATTTGATATAACATTGCCGAGTACTTACTTGGCTTTATAGAATAGGACATATATGATCGTTACGACAAACAAGAAGAGTGCATAAGTGACCCTTCGGTCTTTGACACTGAGATGCAAGGGACATCTCGAATCAGAAATACAAAAGACTTTACCTTAGTGAATTCCGTCCTCTTATACGAAGTGGTGAAGGAGGTAGCAATCTACCTAGTGTGGAAGGTAAAGATACCCTTCGATGATGACGGGCATTGCCGTTTCTTTGTTGTCGTTGTCGGCTATCACGAATAACCAYTGCATTGTTATCAAATTGATCTTCAGCATCATGACCGCTCATTGTGCTCGAATAATGAAGAAATCAGTCAATATAAGAGCTAAAATTAGACGTACTAGCTGTGGCAAAGCGATCAGTGCAAGAACAGTCATCAAAGATAACATAAACCCGTCACGTCCCGTGACGAAACCCTACACCATGTCAAAATAACATCCCCTGTCGTCACTAGTTTCGAATCGATCGCAGAGAAAAAACATAAAAGGAAATAAGGAATATCAGAATGCACAATTAACCAGTTATCTAAAAAAAATGACCACTTTTATTATGCCCTCTGCGCGATTCTTTGATTGATTAAAACCGCACAAAAAATCCAACTATACTGAATTATTTGATTTCATCTTTTTGACGAAAAAGTCGATAAAGTTTGGGCATCACCTCTGATGATGTCAATTATYATTTTTACAACAATTGTAAATTTTCTCAATTTCTGATTGGTCGAGAGCCGTGGTAAGTAAAAGTACATACCACGATCGCAAGATTGTTCATTTTTTTCTGTAATTGTTATCAATTAATTGTACAATATTATTTTGTGGTAAAAAACTTCGTCTCGTGGAAGAAGAACAATTTGGACGATTCGTTGACGCCAACCGTTGCAAATAAGAAGACATATCATGAGAAACTATCATAAATTCGTTAAAAATATCAAGGATGGCGAGACTTTCGTTACTCATCGACTTCCGTCAACAATGTATGCTAACTAACACACAAGAAACGAGTTTTGAAACTTTCACCTTTGACAACACTTTTGAATAATCCTGAAACCCTTGGGAATCTTTAGTAAGTACATGTTTGCCGTTTATTTTGGCACGATTTTTACATGGCTAGAAACATAACATCACGTCCTGAAACCACAACGTGGTGTTTACTCGTCCGGAGAAAACTCTCATTACCGGAAAACCGAAGTGCCCGTAATAGTGAGTGCGGTCGCTGTAAAGAGAGTAGGTTTCAATATAGTCAACCTTCGTTTTGACGGACAACAGAGTGCCTGCAATAGTGAGGTGGTCGCTGTGATGTGATTTAACACGCAATAGTGAGAGTCCTCCTTGAAGGAAAATAGTTTCTATTATTTCTTTGGAATAAAATATCAAATCCTAAAATCGTGATGTGTCTGTAATATCGGGGTGTCCCCGAGGTTTCGACCATGGTTGCGACATTTGATGATTCGAGCCTTGTATTTAAGCTAAAAATTCTGGTTTATCATTTGACAACGAGTGATTGGAATTTTTRTCCGATTTAAACATACGAAGAGCGTCAAACACGGTCGATAAAAACAAATCAACAGACTTCGGCGGTCTTTACAKWAAGAAATGATTGGCAGAGAAATAGAAATATTTAAAATCATATTGCAAAATGATGGAAATTGTGCACTAAGCCTTGTGATATTGGTTTTAGAAGTAAACAATTGTACTGTATACTTGTRCTTACAGGACTGACCCAAATGTTGGATAAAYGTTTTAAAGTGTCTACTACGTAAACCTGGTAAAGTACAGCAACTTACTTTGCAAAGAATCTTCGAAGAGATCTGAAACTCGTTCTTTCTGGCATGATGGCAGTGCTGGTTTCAATAAAATTATGTTCGACTTGATAGATTTTCAGGAAATATYAATAGATGATATTTTCAAGGTTGAACGGCCATGCGTGGTATTTTGGCGACCAAAACGTGATACAAATGGCAAAATACACGTGTACAAGTGTAGTGAAATTTTGTTGATTTACGTGCAWTTTATAATGGTAGACATCATTACTTTTCGCATACAAATTCAGTGTGATATCACTCTCTGTCCATACACCTACAGTCTTGTGCCTGCAAAGAATGTCGGGATTTCCATACTTAATTAAYATATTCAAAAGACACTTGCCTATGTGTTTGAATTCAACGGCGACAAACACACTAATATACTTGTTTGATTGGTTTAATATTCGCAATAGTCTCGCCATGAGACATTTTTCTTGAAAAATGATCCAGGTTTTCAAACCGTCAACGTGAGATGGAATAACTGAAAGTGAATATAATTATATATGGCAATCCCAAGATTCTTTGCAAACTGTGGACTGTGTCCTGGCGACGACAACATTTTTTGGTGTATAGTATATATATAGTGATCAATGTTTTGATCGTGTGAAGTCGTAAACTAAGAAGACTAAAAATTTCGGCGAGTTGATACGGTACGTTTCGGTAAATTACTGCCTGGTTAGGATTCCAAAACTAAASTGTATTGTGCAGTATCTGCAATATATGAATGTRAAGGTCAAGGTGGAAAATTCATATATCAACTACGAAGTGCAAAGACCATATGACGGGAAATGATTACAGATGTCAGGTGAGAAGTCCAATAATGAACTCACAGTCATATGGTTTGCATAGCGCAACTAACGGCATGTAACCTTTAGATTACGACATGTCCGACACTTCAGTTTCCATAAGGGACTGACCCCATAAGGGACTGAYCATTAGACTTTTAAGCCGTAAAAAGACCGCCTTGAAAGTTCTCATTGTTGGACATTACTGGTGCCTTCGATATCTGATTCTGATGCCGCCATGTTTACCAATGACTGCACGTTTTTTATTCTTGTTATGCAACCACGTGACCAACATGGCGGCGTAACTTGCACACCAAGAATAGTGAGTCTGAAGGTTTTGAATTCTTCACCACTCATGGCTAAGTGTCTCTTAACTTCTTAAGCATAAACATTTAAACTAATACTAATTGTTTTTTCAGTTATATCCGAGAGGGTTGTGCCTTGAAGTGAGTAGGTACCTGGTTATGCATAGACAGGTTMCAGCTCTAGCTGAGATACTATTTTCCTTGGTGTGAAAAGATATTTACTTCTTAAGCTTTACTACATAATAAAATTTGATACATAATAAAATTTTACGATCTTAACAATGAAAAGGAGTACTGTATATCCAACATTCAGTCRAATAAAGACATGAAGACTTCAAGGAGAACCCTGACATTCTAAAAATAGTATGTACTAATATAGTAAACATGCACTTTCACCGTGACTTTCACCTTAAAAGTGTTGTTGACGAGTAACATGATATCGAGGTGTTTTGTTTTTGCCAGCAACTTTCGAGAAAACATCATCTTTTCTTTTTTTTTTTTTTGTCTTAATATATTTATTAATACATTACTACATTAATTAGTACATTACTACTAGATAACATCATAGACTCTTAATATTTGGAAAAATTGTAAAAAACCCATCATCTTTATGAATAGTGCGATAAAATTTGACTTTCACTTGGAATAGTTTTCATTGATTTAAGTTTTAGTATATATTATATAGAGTTTATTTTTAGCTCAAAGGCAACGCGAAAAMCAACTAAACCAAATACATACCAAATGTATTTCACATGTCATGGAGTACAATAACTCTGGTAAATTCTTCAACATACCTCAACGAGTTTGCAAGCTGCTTCTCAAAAGCTTTCCGATCTCCATGGTCGGTATCGTCCTCAAAACCACTATCACGATCAAGCATATTTTGGCTAGCGTCGTCCATATTCGCTCGATTAATACCAAATTGCATTAACCAAGACATTTCTTAGTTCTTTTCACAGCGAAATATATTTCTGACTTAGCTTAAGCCTCTGCATTTGTATAAAAACAGCTCGATGTTTGCAGTTTCAGAGAGGTCAAACCATCTCGTGACAYAATGGCAGCCGCCTCAATGTGATGTTTAATTTCCCCTGACATCATCGACTCYTTACGAATAAACATCACTTTTACAATATTCTTGCTGTTTTGCCTTTTTTGGTTATTCTAATTTCTGGAGAATACTTTAAGCTTCAAATAAGGGCAAGCGTTGTGAGCTTCTCATTTCTCTAAATACACATCTGACAAATGCTATTAGACCAGATAAAGGTTACTCATGGTCAACACTGACTACCATGCCCATAGTTGGACCCCGGACCTTGTGAAATACGGGAGATATAAAAGACGCTGCCCGCAAACCGAAACATGATAGCAACATATATCGGTTTCCTGGTTCCATATTTGTGAATATATCTCTTTTTGGCCGCGAAGCTGAGTCATCGAGCTGCGTCTCAGGCAGAAGACAATGAGAAGAAGATATGTATTCACAGACAGTAGACAGATACAGAGAAACCTCTGAAACCAGGCTCAGTAATTACTTCTATGAAACGAAGAGCAAGTTTTATAATAACTTTTTTGAACATAATGGGATTCAAAATGTCTTTCTTTTTTTCTTTCTTTTTTCATCCCCCTTATTTCGTATATGCTACATCACATAGACGAACGAAATCTCATATAATAAAACGATGTCTAGTAACAAAACTGAACTGARAGGACCCAGTCCTGATTTAATTGTACCTACATCTTATAGATCCGTCGCACTACCTGGAAATTCGGCGGTCTGTTACAGCAGACTTCGTGAGATTTTAAAGTTAGAAATAATTAAGCAAAGAAATCTAAATAAAACCGCATTGTACGATGATAGGAATTGTCATGAATTTGGCTTTACGTTCTTCTCAAATAAGCGATTCAACCGAATTTACTTGTAGACATTTCCTTACTTACAGGACTACACGTTGCCCAAATGCGAGAATTGTAATCTTTTGAAAGTTGATACACTTAAACTTACTTTTCAAAGAATCGTCGGAGTGATCTGAAACTCGTTCTTTSTGGCATGATGGCAGTTCTGGTYTCAATAAAATTATATTCGACTTGATAGATTTTAATGGGTGAAGTATTTTAAAGATTAGAGGGGACATATTCGTAAACGTGAATCGTTTCACACGTGTCGATTACTTCAGGTGCATAATACTCCAATTTCGAGTTCTGGYTTGCTCTGTGTTAGCCTCAAAACCAAGTAACATATTCTTTTGTTTTATTGACAGCCTGTGAAAACGCATGGAATTTGAAGAGAGACAATAGAGTTGATTTGAAATCTCACACTTTTATTCTCACAATTAGGAATTTTTTGCGCACAAATGAGGCTAACACAGAGCATTGGAGAATTCGAAACTGGATTATTGAGCATTTTCACTGATGTTCAATCTATATAATAAGAAGCAAATCAATTTAGACATACATTCTTTTAAGTCTACATTCAACGAAATATCACTGGATATAGTTTAGATTTGGAATATGGTATACACCAATCAAGTAGATCGTATTTTAAACACATGAGCAGCATGAGCTAGCCTACCCAGAATTCTCTGCACTACATCATTGTTCAGACCAGCTTATTTTAGATAGCTT